TAAATGATTATGTAGTAGAAGCAACATGAGCAACCTAATTTCCTTGATTTTTTAACTTCAATTCCCTACATTCTTTGATCAAAAGTCCGAGTTTCTTTTAGTAGTTTCATACTACTCATTTGCCAAATGGTCCAACACATGGCTATTTTTCCCTACAAATGCATTATTTGACCGAGTTGTTGATAATGTGGATAAAATTTTAGTGTGACGCACTGTACCAAGTGTGTCTTGAAGAGAAGAGACCACAACACTAGACGACATGTGCTTTGGCTTTTCAAAATCTCACGTAAGACTTGACAAAAAAACTCCTCACTACCACTTTTTTCGCTGCCTCTAATGCATTTTGTTATCAGGATTAAATATTGTAATGTATTAACTCTTCATTTTTTTTGTGAAATCTATAAAATAAGCCATGAGAGGCTTTTTTGATTTCAGCTCTGTAAAAGGCTTCGCACACATCCTACATATGGTAAGGCTATCTTTGGCAGAATACATAAATTTCAAACAATCAAACAATTCTTTCATAGTATCACAATAACTAACATACACATTACCTAATTCTACATGGACTTTTGAATCTGGATAAATAATGTAGAATCATCACGGATCCAAACATCATTAGTGACTTTGTCAATTTCCTCATGCGGTGGTTCATCAACCAAGCGGATATATTTATTGGTGCTCCTCAAGTAACGTTTGATAGTTTTACTCCACTTAAGATAATTGGAGTCAGATCACAAAGTTTATTCTCATTACTTTTAAAGTTAATTGGAATAACTTTAGATACTATTAAAGGTTGGTTATTTAATATGACAGGGGGTTCCGTATCAGAATGTGAAGGCATTTGTTTTTTATCAGTTGTCAAAAAAATATTGGATATCAGTCGATCAATGTATACTTACCATTGACTATTATGGAATTTCAGAAAACGTGTAGCCCTTTCCTAGGTTTTGTCCAACAAGAGAGAATTTGAGCCCTATGTGTACGAGAAAATAAAGTTCAGAGATGGTATGGGATGTGTAGGAGAGCTGAAAGATAATTCCCGATCAAAACTCATACCAGAAATACAGTGTCATGCACATACGTGTGCGCCGATCATGAGAGGTTCCAGCGGCGGCAGGAGGTGAGATAAGATGGGGACCAATCATTCAATGACATATAATCATTGGGTGAGTTAAGAGTCTTCCACGAAGGATCGTGCGCGCACACTATATACATGTGTGTGTGTGTTGAGTGATGAATGTTTTTTTCCTGTTCCATAGCTTCAAGATCCAAAAATAAAATAACACACCCAAGGAGAATTTGGTTAGGAAAAATCATGAACAAAGGGATGTACAAAGGAGACATGGATGACACGAACCATGATGTACTATACCTAATGATGAGCAAGATAAAGGTGTTGTGACAATGATGGAAAAAGAATAAACTTCTCTTTTGCTTCTTTGAAAGCTAGAATGTAAGAGGGAAGACAAATGACTAGCTAGTGCGATTTGTGTTATATGATGGAAAAAGAATTAACTTCTCTTTTGCTTCTTTGAAAGCTAGAATGATTAGTGAACCTTGAGTTTGTTCCATATAAAAGTTTTTACATAAGGTTCTCATCATTTAAAACCACGGTTGAAGAGTGGAATAGTTAGAGTGAGAATAACTTGAAGAGTGGAATGTTTTTTAACCCACCAAAAGTATTCACAAATCAACATTAGAATGCCAATGAAACCCTTTATAAAGATGATGTGATTTGTGTAAAGGTATTTCCGATCTAGATGGGACATAACCTGATAACCTCGTTTGCACCCGCAAATGATATATGGTGGATGATAAGGGAAATGATCCCATATTTGCTATTAGTGAGGGTGTGAAAGTCTCTTTTCAGGGTGTGTTGCCATTATAGAATGACAATGGAATATTTACGATGTAAGTTTGAAAGTAATGTGTTTGTATTGGGTTTACCAGGATGTTGGTTAGAGGAGGCATGCATGGGTACGAATTGGAATGTTGGAATGAGGTGCATGGATATTTTCGTTATTGGGTGATTAGAGATTATAAGGAGGTTTAGTGGGTTTCAGTTATGCAAATGCATGGGTATGATGTGGCTGTAAGTATGCACAATGAGACATTATTAATTGGCTGATAAGTCTATATTTCAACATGCATTTGATCCATCTTGAGATTGGGTTTTCCCAATTTGGCTACCCTAAATGTGTCACAAAGCACTTAAATAGCTCATGTCATAGTTTATCAGATTTCGGTTGTTTTTGGTATTTTTAGAGTAAAAATCAGGGAACTAAGCCCGACACTGGCATCAGAGAATTGTTCAGGAACATTTAAGATACAATTGAGTGTTGATAAGAGGCATTGAAGGTCTATGGGGCCTTAAAGATGCATTTTTGAAGTCAAGGGAGCTCAGGAATCAAGTAGGGGATGGGAACAAATGTGGAGTTCAAGAATGACGCTCTGTCAAATATTTGAACATATGTTTTTGTAAAAACACCCAAATGAAACGATTCAAATTTCATGTGAAAGATCACTCAATAGGATAGAAATCATATTAAGATACCATAAAGAGAATGTGAGAGGATCAAGGTTAAAACAAACGAGAAAGTCAAATAATTGGATTTGAGATTTCAGGATGCAACCTTCCACCATTTCATCCATATCGTTTGATTGGATGATCCATTTCCATATTTGGATTTGAGATTTCAGGATGTGACCTTCCACCACTTCGTTACCTATAGCTTTGTTGATGGAAGCATAGCCAAATTAAAACAGGAGGTGCGCACGCCGTATGCGGCCCCATTTTGGCCCAAAAAGCCCAAATTCAGCCCGTTTTCGCCGTTTTCTATTTAAACAACTTGTAAAGCCCGGTTTTAGGTTAGACTGCGTTTAAAAACAACTTGGAGACGCATTTTCTTCTGTTTTTCAGCACTGGATCTTCAAACTGGGATTGTTTGTGAGTTCTTTCTCTCTTTTTAATTAATGACAATTAATTCTTTCCTTCTCACTTCAGTTGATCTTTCAGTTCTGAATTGTGAGTAGTTTGAATTAAGGATTTGCGATTGATGAAGGAAGGAGTAATCATGATCTAGGGTTTCTTTCTTGTGGGTTTAAACGTGTGATTTTTATTTAAATCGTGTTTGAATAATATAATTGTTATCTTTTGTAACTTGAATCAGTCACTAGGATTATAATTGCACATAGAAATTATTTAAGAGAGATCTAAATTATTCTAGGACACTTTCGTGCACACTTAATCGCTCTGTAAGAGATTAGCACAGTTAGGGAGCCGTACGATCGCTCTTTGTCGCAATAGTTTAGAAACTTGTCGCATGAGAGATCATCCTAGTTCTCTGAATTATTGTACACTACTCCGCAAGAACGATAAGAACTTAGTGTTGACCTACGTTGCTTAATTATATAATTTTCATATGTTTAATCTTGATCAGCCCTAAAACCTGATTGCTCCTGGGAATCAATCCATGTTACCCTTCTATCATTAATTAGAAAGAACCCATTAATTTAGCTCTTTTATTGGCAGTAATTAACTCTCAAAATCAAATCTCGCACATCACATTTATTTTTATTTACTTTAATCGCTGAAACTATTTAATACCTAATTCCCTTTTTTTAGTCCCCTGTGAAGACGATACTCGTACTCATATCATATACTGCTACACGTATTTTAAGTGCGAGAACACTCACATCATTGATGGTCATCACATTCACTAAAAAGGGAGACTGGAGAGATTTTTTGGGGAAATGTATAAAACTTGGTGAGGTGGAGACAATTTTCGCTCAAGAAAAGCTACATGTGTGACATAATATTTCTGAATGTCAAGTCATAAACTTGATGAGAACGGTGGACGGTGGATAGTTCCACAAGGAAGACAGAACATGGTTGCAGCTTATCATGCGAGGTCTAAAAATGAAGCCACGGATGACATAAGAGATCAAATAGTTTAATTATGTATTTCAGCACCTATTTGTGAGTCTTTGGATGGTTTGGGAACTCTTATTTAACTATCGTATAACCTTATTCTATATTTGGGATATTTTGGCACAATGGGATGAATTTGGTGTTGCACGCACCACAGAGAGATCCACAAAAAAAGAAAAGTGAGCATGCGGGATATATCGTGCAGTCAGGTGTGCACAATGCACACACATGGGCGCTGCTATCGCGTGCACACTGTCAAGAGCACGACTTACAGAACTTATGTTGACGTACAACCCTGTGTGGCTGTGTATATAGTGTGCATAGGCATATGCAAATTTAATTGTTTCTTTAAAGAGAAATGCTCTATCGCCCTCCAATTTCTTAACATGGATTTTCTTGGTCAAGGTCGTGTGCTCTTGTTTCAATCCCATTTCCCTTCCTGATCTCATTTAAATAGAACCAGGGTCATAAAGGGTTGAAATAAAAGGGGCGATTATCTATGCCACAACTGGACAATTAAGAGGAGTCATAAACAATAGACCAAAGTAGGATTAAATGGGAAATGATTCAAAAAACAGTGGAATAAGAATAGATTTCTAAACGTCAAATTAGGTTATCAAAACAATATATTAGCTATCAGATTTAAAAACTCGTCTAAGACCTTATATGAAATTACAAGATTGAACTGTATGCATAGTCTTCTTTCTATTATTTCCTCTAATGGGAGTATCTCGTTTTCAAACCTAAAAGTACATAAATATAGTTCTACCTTATTTAGAATCCTTAAAAGAATTTGAAGTGTAGTCACATATTCAAATTATTTGAAATATGTTTCATGTTTTTTATTGTGGTAAATTTGTAGTATATTTGGATTCTTAAAATATATTTAAAGGATACAATTTTTCTCATTTTACTTGAACGTTTTTCAATATTATAGACTACTAGTAGATTGAATTGTTTTCTATTTTTAAAGTGTGAGAAGAGGACAAATGAAATGTAATAGACTAAATAAAATAATACAAGATATGCAAGTTATATTTTTTTTTCTTTAACCAAATGAACTTACATGCTTTTTCTTAGGTTCAAGGCAATCCTTGCTTCACCAATGTCCACATCTGGCCATCCTTGAGGGTGATAAAATATTGCGTATGTGTAAAATCCTGAACGTCCAGGCTGGAGCACATATCTACACTATTCGATGAATGTAGATAATAATTAGGTAAATTATATGGTACCCTTAAGGTACCATACCTTTGTCCGCATGGATCAATCAGAATGATCTAGTTGAATTATTTAAATCTAAATTAAAACTGATGTAATGATTTGAACCAATCAAGTGAGTGGTAGATACGGTAACCCATTTTTTAAATGGGTATCGGAGTTGTCACCTAACAACTATTAAGTCAAGCTAAATGATATATTTTGCTTCAAATAAAAAGTCATCTTCTGGAATAAAAAAGAAACGAATCAGCAACATCAAATTTAAGAATTGAAGTCTCTAAGGGTGTCGTCAATGTATCAATTTGGTTAAAAGTAATTCAAAAATGTTATCGCAACATTGCAATACTTGAACTTGAAACTGCATCACTAATGGGTAAAAAGTGAATTTGTGCGCATATTGTATGGATAACACTCTTTTTATATGAACCAAGCCAAGCTAGTGAGGTTCCAACTCCGCATGCCCTTACACAGATCTTCCGTCACTTTCATATGCCACTATCACTCATTAGTTCATTTGCTCGCCCGAAGCCTTAGCATGGTTCTTAGTAGGATTGACCCACCCTTAGCAAGGTACCAAAGAACATGAGCATTCACAAGTCTTGGTTGCAATTGACTATTAGGGTTTAGTATCTAAGCGGCTGGCTAATGTCGCGAATTCACCAGATTTTTCCTTATGTGACTTCCTTGTATGTCAAATTGTGCCCTATTTGTTTGTATATTACAAATATAACATGATCATTTTGAACTTTAATATATAAGTTACATTAAAAGTATTTATTCTCATTTCATTTATGAGAAGGACTTCAACTTATTTTTGTTCATGATCTTAAATTTTAGTAGACACAACTTTAATTTTATTGATATTTTAATGTTGTTTATGCTCATTAACTTTCCTGCATATAATTATTTGTTATAATGGTAAGCAGTCTCTTATGGGTTTGTGCTTTGGCGATAATTAGATGCCAATAGTGTTAGGGTTAGATGACTAGGTAATTTGTTGTTTGTTGTAATTCTTTTGAGCTTGCAATACAAGTTTGAGACACTTTAATGAGAACTGATTAGAGTTCTTAACAAATGAACTCTCTTAACAAAGAAGATGGACCTTGTTGGTATGAGTAGGACTATTTATCCTTTCAAGCTAATCTCAAGTACAAAGTATTATACTTTCAATGTAGTTTCCCATGATTATGTAAGTTTGATTATTCAAATTGATTTGACTATCCGCAGGGATGATTTAAAGTTGGCAAGTAAAACATATTTGTAGACATGCGTAGGGCGGAGTCAGGGCACTGGGCCAGACTGGGTCGGTACAAAAAATATTATTGAAAAAATTTTTATAAGAAATTTTTTACACTAAAAATATTGGCATTTTTTAACTTTGGTGTGGGCCAGGGCCTAGTCTGGACACCCCCCTAGCTTCGCCCCTGCTTGTCTTGGCCATCCGGTTGCAGTAAAGAGAGGTAAGAGAGTGATTCTTGCTAGCTTCTATTCGAGTGAAGATGGTGCGGAAACTCCAAGAACAGAATGACCGATTTATATCAAAAGCGGGCAGAGAAGTGTGGTTAAAAATGTTATTCAGGGTAATCCCAAACTATGCAATGAACATGTTTCTTTTGCCTAAGGAACCATGTCTAGAATTCGAAAGACTAATAAATGGTATTTGGTGGAATGAGGGTGATAATGGAAATATTTGATGGACAATATTAGGAATATCCAAAAGAATATCCAAACACATCTTCAAACCAAGCTTGCTGGACAAATTTTTCATGATATTTTCTCTAAATGGTTGAATTCCTTAATTGTTGTACTTTCATTGCATTTTTTTTCTTGTACTCTATTTAAGGTTTTATAAAATTAGGTAAATGACTCAGACGTTTACCCCATAATTTCAAAGGAAGTAGGATAATATTAGTATGAGCAACATACCTTTTGTCAACAATGAGGGGAGCACTTGCATCATCATGGGATTCAAAAGATTTTGTAAAAGAAAGCTCGATCTGCTTTTCATCGTGGACTATCACTGTGAAATTTGTTGCAAAAAGACTGCGTGCGGGTACAACATGCATGCATGGTAAGATATATTCGTCAGCTTGATCTACGTAGATCTCCAACTAATTGAAAATTTTTAAAACCCTAAAATTACCTAAAATAAAATAGGAGTAAAGTATAACATAGTTTCTCAAATAGGAATACTCTTATTAGACTTTTCTCTTGGGTCTAATTTTAGGCTTTTCTTTCTGAGTTATGCTAGAGGTATAAAAACTTTTACAAAAAAGTCTTACAAAAAGGGTATGTGACATTATCACATTATTTAATACATCACATCACATTTACAACACTTCTACATCAATGGTAATTAGAATAGCCACATCACTTGTTTGTAAGTTTTTTTGTAAGTGTGTTTGTACTTCTAGCATTTTTTTTCTTTCTCTATACTGAATACTACCTAGTTATTTTCTCGAATAGGAGTACTCTCAACGTAGTTATGCCTCTCATAGTAGTATTTTCTTTCTTCCATTTCCTTTTCGCATTGTACGGTTTGTTTGTACTTTTTTCAATAAAATACACTTTAAAAAAAGGAGTACTGTTATTATTTTCTTAAATATCGGACTAATAGGACTAAGCAACTCCTATTTTTTAAAATATATTGGTAAAACATTAGTTGGTTGAAAGAATTAAAAAGAATCAAAGTGCAAACATTTAGAGATGAAAAGTGAACTTGAAAACTATTGTGGCGACTTCTAGCTGCCCTGAGTTTGAGAACATACATATCAAACTTGTTAGGCCTTTTGGGTGTACTCCAAACAATATCCCATTCCCTGAAATAAAAGAAGAATTAATAACTTTTAACATAAATATGGTCAAAAACCGGAAAGCCGCCCGACTCGGAAAATCCCGGTCCAGACCCAAACCCAAAAAAACTGGAAAACCCAGTTTTGTTTTTTTCAACAAAAAGTACTACCTCTATCTCACTAATATTGAGATAAGAGAAGCTGACACGATTAAGAAAAGTGAGTTTGTGTGGTTGATATTGAATTAATAAAGTAAGAATAAAATAAGAATAGTTTAGAATCACACAAATTTTACCATATTTGGGATGCGACAATCTTAGTGAAATTTCCCGAAAAAGTAAAATAAGACAATTTTAGCGGTACGGAGAAAGTAATTTTTTAAAAAAATAATTTATTTTTAACCAATAAAACTCCATTAAATCATGTTAAATTATATAATAAATGTACGATAAAACGGTGCTTTGGGATTTTATGATATTGTTTTAACTTCTCATTTTTTTTGAAACTCGGTAAGCAAACCACACTCACGTGGAGCAATTGTCAGGGGACATTTGTCTAGTTTTTATTAAAAATACAAAAAAAGTGGGGGCAGGACCAAAACTTAAGAAAAAATAATTAAATAAAAACAAAAACCTAGGTAACTAACAGGCCACAATTAACTTCTAATTGTTTAGTAACTATTGTCATTAAATGAATATTATGCAATAATTGTGTTTTCTTTTACTTTTGAATATAATTATATGTTTATTACGTAGTATTATTATATGGTTGATTAACTTTATGGTTGATCGGGTGAACCGGAAGGGGTCCGAGTCCGAATCGTTTCTCACTCCGATTTCTTAAACATAAGTTTGAAGCACACGAATGAGGACTGAGGAGGAAGGGGGCTTACGCTCTATCGGTTTCCTTTCTGGAATGTTCCAATACGTTATCAACTCCATTGTGTTCAATTGCTGCAATGGATCCGGTTGGATTAGTGAACGTTACTTTTATGTGACCGTTTTCCATTACCACCTGTCAAATAAATCATTCCGAACCAAAATCTCACACAAAAGAAATACAACTCATGGGTTCACTACAAAAAAAAGAATAAATTTCATTTTTAGTCGTGCGAGTTTTAGGTCAATTCTACATTTAGAATGTTTTTACTTAGTCTGTAATTCCTCCCAGATCAAACCAGACTAGATCAGACTAGACCAGTTCAGACTAGACTTGGATAGTTATAAAAATACAAAGAGACCAGACCAGACTAATTCAGACCAGACCAAACCAGACCAGACCAGCAAATTACAGTCCAAGTAAAAACATCCTTAGTTCACATCTTTCACTTTGTCCACTTTTGATACATGATTATTGGGTTTTCATCAATATATGCTCCTTCCGACGTTGTTTCCGGTGCTTAAAATCACCGGAAAAGGACCACAAATAGTTAAAAAACATTAGTCAAGTACCAAAATTAGTCAAAGTGAAAGAAGTGAACTTAAGATGGAATTCGCACAAAACTCATCTAACCAAAAGTGAAATTAATTTCTACAAAAAAATTACGGGATTGAAACGGATAACACGGATTATCGATGATTTCATGTCAAATAGTTCGTGCCACTGTTTTTGGCACGAATTGAGCATATCCCTGTCAAAATCTCCGTCAATTTTGAAAAATCTCTCCCAAAAATCTTTGACAATCCCGTATTTTTTTTGTAGGGAGTACGAAATTTGCACACAAACTGTTCAGGTAACTAGTAGACAATTATTGATTTTTTAAAATAAACCATATGTGTACGTATACAACTAGAGTGTACAATTTGTAAACTATTATGTTAATGTTAAAACTTAAATAAGTACCAATAATTAAATTTATGTATTTAGATAATGTACTTAAAGTAGGTATCTTCCTATTTTTCATTTGCTACATTTTCTATATTAACAGGAGTATTTTTTATTTACTCCCTCCGTCCCATATTTATCTTCACAAGTACAATTAGCACACATATTAAGATAGTGAGAAATGTGTGGTGGAGAGTTGTGCAGAGGAAAGAGAAATGTGTAAGAATGGTTGTGAATCACAAAATCTTTGCTAAAAATGGAAAGAGAAGATAAATTTGGGACGGACCGAAAAGGAAAGTATGAAGATAATTCCGGGAAAGTATGAAGCTAAAATCTATTTTAGTAAGACTAACCTTATTTTGTCATTTTCTCATGCTTTTTCATATATTCCCAATTTTATCTACTACTCGCGTCGTCTTTCTTTCATACATTATCTTCATCCATTCTGCATGTAATGCTTTTTACAATTCTACTACACTATCCAATACTCCTAATTTTTTTTATTAATCTTTTCGGAAACCCTATAGTTGCCAATAAAAAATACGAAGAGTCCATAACTCCATATTGAAATGCAAAAATCAAATTGCAGGTGTTATAAATTAAATTTTTGTCAGATTTAATCCTTCGACTTTAATAAAAGTGACACATTAGGTCATTGAACTATTATAATAATGACATTTTTAGTTCTTCATTCATTGTGTCAAAATCATAATGAAATTAAAGGACGAACTGTGTCAACTAGATAATACTCAGGGAACTAAATATAGGAAACTTTGAAGTCGAGAACTAAAACTGTCTCTAACACAATAGTTGGGGACTAAAAATGAAAAAATTAAAAGTCAAATACCAAAAGTGTCACTGACATAATAATTGGCGGACCGAAAGTAGCAATAACTCTTATAAATTATTAATACTTAAAATTAGAAATTCAAAATAATTACAAAAATTAGATACCACTACTTGGGTGTTTTTGCTTGAATTGAAACTTTCTACTTATTTGGTGTGATCCGATCGAAATTGACTGATTAAACTTTATTTTATGTGTATTTTACTACAATTATCATCTTACTAATGCTTCCCGGGAATAGTGAAGTACATGAAATGAAACAATAATTAGATCAAGCATAGAGAGAGAACAAAAGATCAAAACCCGCTGATGTTCATCCAATTATGATGAAGCACTGCACAATTGTGAAAGCTCAGTGATTAATTTACATGTTTTTTCGTGACATCCAATCTCAGAGGCTGTGAAACTTTCTGCCCAGCAGTATTTGTCGAATTTAACCTGCAATTTTATTACATGATGAAAAATTCGATAGGCATAAATACTACGAGTAAAACAGTAAGAAGTTAATGACGGCACTATATATTGTACTTTATTTTTTGCCAATTGGGATTGGAAAATATTAACAGAAAAAATTTGGGTCGTAAAAGTTTGGAAAATACTATGTAGAAGATAGAAACAAGCACATACTATGTATTTGTTTGATTAAAAGAGGACAATTTTTTATAAAAATTGCTCTAAATAGGAGTAAAAACGTTTTGAAATTTCAAAATAGAAATATCATGTTTTTTTTCCTAAATATAAGTAATCTGTCAAGTTTGGAAAAAATGACATTAAAGTCCACTAATGTCAAACTTGGCAAAAATTTACTCTTATTCAAGCAATAAAAAATTGGTCTGACATTCTAAGGATGTTTTTACTTGGACCGTAAAAAATTAAGGTTTTTACTCTTATTAAAATGGAATATAGTCCGTAAAAAATTTACTCTTAAGTTCTATTTTGGAATTTCAAAACTTTTTTACTCTTATTTAGGGAATTCACCAACATTCTAAGGATGTTTTTACTTGGACCGTAATTTGTTGGTGTTGTTTGGTCTGACATGGTCTGATTTCTTTGTATTTTTATAAATATCCAAGTCTGATCTAGTCTGAACTGGTCTGGTCTGTCTGAGAGGAATTACGGTTCAAATAAAATTGGGGTATTTGGATAAAATTGGGGTTTTTGGTTCAATTTGACTGTTGGATTAATTTGTACGTTATTCATTACGGACTATATTCCATTTTGGCCTGGACGCCGGGTTCAGTTTAAATTGGATTAAAAAATTACTCCTCCATCCCGAAATAAAATTGCTTTTCCAAAATGGATGTCCCAAAAAAATTATATTACTTTGAAACTTTCCTTATTTGGTAAACAAATATATACAAAATAGTGTCAAACAATGCAAAACAGTGTCAAACAGTGTCATCATAGTGTCAAACAGTTTCGCTACAGTGCTGAACAGTGTAAAATTAACTTCGGGCGGTGGGAATATATTGCAAATAAATGAATAGAAAACAAATTATATTTGGATTGGAATAATTGGGCTAGACCCCACCGATATACTAATTGAAAGATTGAAAAAAATTACCATTTAAAAAAATAAAAATCCGTACCTAATTTCTGTGGATGCATTATCAGCCGAATAAACAACGATTAGGAAGAGGAACTGAAGAACGATAGTATTTCTGAAAAACCATTGCAGTGATGAACGATTGCTGCCGCCTTTGCTTCTGCCCCCAATCTTTGACATCTTCATATATATAAAGGATCCAATGGATTACAACTGTTCAAATTACTTTGATCGATAATGTTATAGGAATATATATGTATAAACCTTAATTTTTTTATCTGAGAATATATGTTTGTATAATCCCAACAAATTATCTTTCCGATGTATCTAAAAAAAATCCCAACAAATTAAATATCACTTGCATTTATATATTTTGCCGACTTAGGAGGGGAGGCCCTTTGCATGCCGCACTTAAATTTGCACAGGTCAAATTAAATTATTTAGGCAAAAACAATCTTTTTATGATTATTATACGAACATGGTAGATTGAAAACCATAAACTCCGTATATAACAATGAAACTTACCGGGTCTCCTTTAATTACATTATTAAATCATAGATAATCTAAGGCTAAAATGTTTTAACGGTTGCAAACGTTGAACGTTGAAACGTTACATATCTCATTAATTAATACTAATATACTCCGTATTAAATGCTAGATCGACCTTGAAAAGCAGGATGGTGCTCTAACATGATACTACGGAAATGTATCAGATCAGGGCTAGAATGGACAGGGGCGGACCCAGTAAATTCATCTTTGGAGGATGATAATTTAAAAAAAAAAACTAGGCGCTCATTATTTTAAGTTATAATCTTTACATAATAGTAATAAAATGAAGCATTAAAATAGTACACAGTAGACAAAAAATAGAAGAAGAGATGAATATATTATTACAAAATAGTAAAGTTAGTACCTTAGAATTGTTCCCGGCGTTTCTTCAACCAGATAAATTCCTCAATTACGACTTTTGAATAATTTTTTTTAGCAATTTCTCTTTCAATATAAACAACAAGGTTGTTTTTATTGGAGTGGCAGCTTTCCTCAACCGTGGTTAATTCCAGCAGTATTTTTTGAATTATTCTTAATCCGGCAGTATTTCGGGAATAATTTATTTAATTAGCATTATTCCGGGAAAAAACTCTATGAAATTAGGTGAGATTATGAACCATATACTCCCTCCATTTCCAAAAGAAAGTCACGGTTTGACTTCACGATTATTAAGGAAATAAATTGACTTTACTATAGAAAACACTGTTTGGACACTGTTGGCACTGTTTGGACATTGTTTGGACACTGTTTGACACTGTTTCGCATTGTTTGACACTGTTTGGATGTAGATTTCTTTGCCAAATAAGGAAATAAGGGAAGTGTGACTTTGTTTTTGAAACATCTCAAAAAGGAAAGTGTGAGTTTCTTTTAAAAACGGAGGGAGTATATGAATTAGCAATAGGGGTGGGCATATATAAAACCCGAACCAAACCGGTACCGATCGAACCGTCCCGTAAGGGTACCGAAACGAATACTGAGTATTTAAACGGTTCTATAGATAAATATCCCGTACCGAAACCGTACTGTTTTGAAATGGGTACGGGACCGATCCTAGATTTTGAGAACCGAAAAATACCAGACCGAACCATTCGAAAATAATGCATTTGAATTTTGTATATTTTTTCTATATCAATAGATCTCTTTTATAGACCAATAATTTTATACCCCAAGTATGTATTCAAGTGTCCCTAAGATATCTAAATGTGTTTATATATATATATATATATATATATATATATATATATATATGAGAGAGAGAGAGAGAAGATCCCATGAGAAGGCCATCTTAAACTGAAAAATGAGAAGCTTTATGGACCGTACGATCCGAGCTTCTGGACAGTCGATTAGCTCAAATTTTCGTTATTCATTAATGGCAATTTTGTAAATCGCTCGTGCTCCGTGCGCCTATTAAATGGCTATGCGCACCATTTTTTGACAAAGCTAGACAATTATGTCCTTAGTCATTCAATCACACGGTCATGTGTAAATTTTAATTGTACTAAACTGCTAGGCGCACCACGTATCCTATGTTAAACAATCACAACCGTTTTTTTGACTTTATTGCTTCCAAATTCACACGCATGTTTTCAAAAAATAGATTTTTATATTTCCAAAATTTTGTGTTACATGCTACCAAATACACTTAAATTCCTAATACAACCAGGATTACACTTTCTAATTATCATCAAACAACTACTCTATAAATATTTGGAACTCATTACTAATGTTTTTATAACTTTTTACAATCTTCTTATACAATGGAGGATGAATATGAAAATTATCTATATATATAATAGTACTCTTGATTTTCACACTCATGAGGTATTCATCTTACCCCACTATCTGTATCTCAGGTTTTCTTTGTGATGTGATTCATTAAGTTTGTCGTATACAATATTCGTTAATATTTTGATGATCATATATATACTTTTTCATTCATCTTTATATTGAATGATATTGTTTTTATTCTATTATCATATAACTACAATATGACAGTATCTAGAATGTTTTTAATTTAGATGTTTTTTTCATCTCAAATCAAACCAAATCAAATTTCAATAGTTGTATAACACAAATAGGAAAAAAAACGCACATTAACATACATCTAATAGGGCAGACCAGTTCAAATAGACTAGACCAAACTTAAATAGAACAAATAAGATAAGATTATACCAGATTAGACTAGACTAGTAAATTTTAATTCAATTAAAAACATCCTTATTTGTATTATAATAACTAAAATTAATGTCACCCAATAATTAATTTTTGTCAAACTAATAAGTACACTTCAAATTGTCTTTTTTATAAATTAACGACTCCTACATTATAATTTAGAATGTTAGTTTAATATATTTTTTATTTATCCAAAATTTTAAATATAAACAGGCATAATTAATTTTTTGATCATTTTTAAACTTGTATAGTGTAATTGATATTTTCGGTTGAACTCGTTTCAGTCTCATCTTATGAATGTTTAGATTTTTCGGGGTTATTCAAAAAAATGTGCTTTGAAACTCGACAAATCATATTTTGCTTGTAATACATGTATCTCATTTTTTTTCTGCTTTTTCAAAAATATGATATCTGTAGGATGACAGTGACGTGTATGTCAGTCTTACTCATGATGATAGCTCGACTTTTGTCAAAGAAGAAGTGAAGTTTGAACCTCCAATTGTTGAAGAAGCACAACCATTCACTTCACATGACTTTTCAGAAGACTTTCGAACTCATAAAACTTGGGCGGATCGGGAGTCGATGATTGATTGGGCTAGAGTTGAGGCCCATAAGAGAAATGTGGTCTTAACTATTGCAAAATCGAGGCCAAATAATTCTAAAAAGCTTGGTAATGTCCTTCTCGCATGTGAAAAATTTGGGAAGTATCGAGCTGCAAAAAAAGTCAATGCTCCAGGGGTGCAACAAGATAAAGGAAAGAAAGCTACAAGAACAAAAAAAAGTGATTGCCCTTTTGCATTATATGGGAGTGAAGTGAAACAGAATTTATGGCGATTGCAAGTTAATTGTGGATTTCACAATCATGTTATTCCAACGAGCTTAGTGGGGCACGCATTTGCTAGTAAATTGACAAAGCAAGAGATTTCTTTGGTGAGAGACTTATCCGAGGCGGGATGCAAGCCTAAGCCAATTCTCCAAAGTTTAAAAATTGCGAACTCTGAAAATGTTACATCCAGAAAGCAGGTGTACAACGCAAGACGCAAGCTTAAGAAGGAATGGATGGATGGACGCACCGTCATGCAACAATTACTCCATTTGATTTCAAAGTATGATTACTTTGAGGCCAATAGATTAGTGCCAGGGAGTGAAGATTTACATGACATGATATTCGCGCATCGAGATTCACTAAAATTATTGCGACTTTTTCCTTATGTTCTCATCATGGACACAACATACAAGACAAACAGGTAAAATTAAATATTTGAAAACATACGTACTTTTTCATTCCATTCTTACCACTCCTTTAAATAGGAGTAGAAAGTAGTCAAGATTCATAATTAAATATTTTAATTCATAATAAAATAAAACAAAAATAATAAAAATCGTAGGAAAAAATTAATAATTAATAATTGTTTAGTGCACCTTGACCTCCACGAACCAGTCACTTGTTTGCCCATGATCGCTCTCCCGTGTAGTAGTCCTCCAAAGACAATTGTTTGCATTGCTCGGCTTGATTCCCAACAACACTACATAGCTGTAAGCAAACAATATTTTATAGTTTCATTTTGTTTTCACATTACCTTTTTTATATTCATATTACCATATGATTTGCATAAAATGAAAACTTTTGTTGATACACAGGTTTGGCTTGACGACAATGCTCCGTTCCCACCGGTCATTACGACATGGTCTTACTATCACGACGCTAGTGTTACAGGATGAGATACTTCACTTCTTCACCGAATTAAACAGTTTATAGAATGTCGTAATGTTATAAGAGACCCTGTTCCAATTGTATTGGATGATTGATATAAACCTTATATATTATAAAAACACAAATGTTTTGTTTTTTACTTTGCACAATTCTATATTAGATTTTTTTGGGAGTTCTATAGTAGATTATAGATTTGAATAAGTAACATTTTTAATTCTAGTAAACTAATTATCTTCATTTTTTGTTTGACTAATTTCAAAGGTGGAGGACCCCGCCTTTTTAAACTCCATCACACCATGTTACATGACTAGATTTATGATGTGCGTGATATTTAGGATGTTTTTAATTGAACTGATTTCGAACCACATAGATTCAAACAAATAGGATCAGATGTGACTAGACTTGACCAGATTTTTTTTAAAAAATTACATATATAATATGGGTGTCATATGAAAGATCATATAAATATATTTAATTTGGTATAATTTTTATAAAAATCGGAGCAAAAATGAAAAAGTTGTGACATTTAAAAAAAATATTATTTGCCACATGGCACCATTTTATTGGATGTGCATTTAATGTAAAATTTTAGAACATGATAGAGCCCATCAGCCGAGCATGGAGACCTTAGGGTGCGGGAAGCATTTTTTTATTTACATTTAATTATAATAAATTTAATTAATAATTAAGAAGGTCAAATTTGTCCGTTCATGTTTACGTTAAGCAATTATGGGGGTGTAGGAAGCAACACCCTTTGTAAATTAGACAAACTTTATACCTCTTCATTATATGGGGTGAATATGCTCTATGTTATCATACAAGCAAAATCATCATTAACTCATCTGACAATTCACGGTGCACCTCCTAATCTTTATCTCCATCTTCCTCTTCAACAATGATTTCTCACTTCATTCTTGCACATCGGAATGGCTATCTCTAGGAAGTTGCGTGAATGTTGTAAATGGATTTCACTGAATGCGCCGGTCGTTAACAACCATCGAGGAGCTCTAGCTACAATGACGATCGACGATGGAAAGAGAAGTTTACTCTTTAAATTCTTTCAATTACTTCGTGTTCGAGTTGAGAAAAACTTCAACTCTAGTCCATTCTTTATTCAAAGTGTCTTAAATGAAAGTCATTTGTAGAAGGAATGAATTTAAGTTACATCTACCAAGTGTTTGCTAAAATGTTTCAATTGTAAATAGTACCAGTAAACTTCATTTGAGAAGAGTGGTGTCTGCTTAAAATTATGCAATATTTCATAATGGATGGTTATGGTATTCGTTAATTCCACATTTTCACTAATGTATATTATCGTATGATTTATGGTTTTGACAGTATTTTAACAAATATGGATAGCAGGGCTCTGAATTCGATTTTGTGTATGTACTTCAGAGTGTATACACTTGTAATAAACACTTATCAACACCTCTTCACATCACGCCCTGAATTTCTGTATCACAAGCAAACAACTTTATGTGAAAGATAGTAATTTGTGTTTTATTGGGTTGACTTTGAGCCAATATAGTTAGGTTGTAAAAAAGCGGTGATTTGATCTTGAGCTAATTTATAGGATTGTAGAGAGGATAGAATTGAGATATTTCTTTTAGGCCCCTTGTAGAAAAGAAGAGGTTGGGATACAATTATACAAACTTGTACAAATGAAAGTTTCTGTTGTTAATAGTTAAGTTTTTCATGTTACAAGTTATGTTAATTCTCTTACAAGTTATTTTTAATTACACTCTCAGTTTGGAAGACTAAGAATGAAATTTAGTGTTTATTATGGAAAATCTTGAAAAAGCATGGCAATGGTGAGGTTAAGGCAGTTTGTTATTGACACTGATTCGTCTATAAGTTACTCCATACTTTTATTAAAGCGTTTGGGATCGAAAAGAAAGATCGATGAGCTTTCTACTTACAAATGCAATTCAGTTTATTTGTTGATGCATGTCATTTAATAGATTTTTTATGAGTGTCATGTTTCCTAATCACATGTTCTAATGAACCAGAATTTTATTATGTTCTAACAACTCAAATAAGAAGAGGCCAAATTTTGAACTTTCAATTTTGTAATATATAAGAGGATTAAGAGCACGCTTGAATGTCTTTTTTTAACACCAACATAATTAATAGTACGGAGAAAATGAAAACAGGTTATCCTCATCGCCAACTTTAAAAACAAATTAAAAACACTTGCAAGCTAAAGTTCGAAGTAATTTGAACATCATTCGATCACTATTTATGACAGACAGATTCTGCTATTTAAAAACATTATCTGGGCTCTAAGATTCTCCTTCCCAAAAGAATGATGCTACTCGACCAAGTATAGTTGAGATGATGTTAGTTGCTTGTCTCAGGAACCATAGATGGAGCTGGTGCAAAAGTATAGGTACCTGATGGAGGAGGGTTAGTGGCAGGGGCAGCACTTATTGTGGGGTCAGCCATAGCCGGGTAAGTTGCTTGGGGAGGAGCTGGAGCACTGCTTGAACTAGCAGTTAATGCTACTCCACCAGGAGGAACTGGTGAAGTAGAACTTGAATTTGGCACACCACTGCTGGGTGGTTGCATGTGCAATGGTGGTGCACCTGGGGGATGTCTAGGAACTCGTGCGAGCATCGGAGACACTACATAAGCTGGAGCACCAGGAAGAGGTCTAGGCAGTATGGGAGGTCTCACTCCAGGGACTAACTGAGGAGATGGAGCTCCAGGAATAGGAAGCAGATGAGGTGGCATGATAGGCATGCGTGGAGCTTGGACAGGGAAAGCTGCAAGGTGTTGATTATATGCAGCACCAATTTGTTGGTATGCTGCTGCCTGTCCAAGACGCTCTTTGATCCTTTGGTCTATAAAAGCCCGTGTTAGCTGTTCCTCAAACTTTTGATAATAAATCCTTACATTTGCCTTGTGTTTGTATCCAGCATTGTGTTGTTTTCTAACTGAAGGAGAATCATGAGTCAAGTAAGTGTCACAGTAGTCACAATAGTACCTAGGTATTTTGGTGTTAAACGGTTGAACTTCAAAGCGAGATGCTAACTTTATCGCCGAATTATCATCCGGCGAAACGTTTGTAGGGATGGATCAGAAATTCTTGCTACCAGGGTTTACATCCTCTTTATTAATCACTAGATTAGAGTCATAATTTGAATGTCTTTATCTTTTATTCTACTTTTCTCAGGGTGGTAACAACCCTATGAAGTTCCCACAAGACTCTTGAATCAAAACTATCAATATCTATGTTCAATTCATATTCAGGATGAGAAAGTGTTAAGTTCTTCTTCTTGCCCTGAGCTTATTGAGTTTGTATCAAAAGGTAAACTTTTGGGAAGCTGTGTTGATTATGTTTATGCTTCAATTTGCATGTCATGTTGCAGTGAGTTTTGGTTATGAAATAGGTATTTAAATGGTAATAAGAAATGCATGTCAAGGCTATTAGCTCAAATGGTAGAGCAATGTGCAACTGTGCACAATTGTGTTAGTTCGAATCCCACATAGCTTAAATAAAAATAATATAATATTATTTTATCTTTTCTAACGTTACAATTTGCCCATCATTTACTTTTATTTTGCTGGTATTATATGATTAGTCTTATGTGTACAATTCAAATGTTTATGAAATGCCATTCTACGAATTCTACAATTCTACACGGTTTCCCTTTGCTATAATTTCCTACAATTCTACACGCTTTCTTGCTATAGTTATTATATTTAGTTAATATGCTCATTAGTTAATGAAATAACTAATAAGTGAACTCTTAATAGTTTATAACTTCTAATCTAAAATGTGTAACAAATAAGTGAAAATTCACAACTTTTTGCGGAAAAACATCTAAAATAAAAGAAATTTAAACATGCTACCAACAAAAACTTTACCATAAAAAGGAACAAGACTTAAATATTAAATTATAAATCGATTCTATGCTATATAAATACATACTTAAAAAATAAAAACTATGACGTCATAGAAATTCAATACATTACATTTTTTTATATATAAAGGACATTATAATTAGATATGTTACAAAATAATAATAACATCCAAGTCTTAGTCCCCCAAAAAGAACTTTCTAGTTCTTAACAAAGCCGTCTTAATCTGATCCACGCTTTCTCTTTTTCTTCATTGCTTCAACACTGTTGTCATGTCAACTATTTTTGGTTTGGACAATTGGCTTTTGTATTTACACCTGTATCATCTAGAATCATTTCATTGCCAAAGTCATTGTCAATTATGTCTTCCATCTTCTACAATGAAGAAAAGTAAAACATAGTGTTATCACTAACAAAGCTAGAAACATAACTTCTAAAGCTAAATAATAACTTTTAACTTACAACAATTCAAGAAATCAAAATCAGTAATAGAGTATATATATAGAAAAACAGAGACTTCAAAAAACTATCACTACTACTACTACAACTGATATTATTATTTTTTATTATTATTTAATGAAAGAAAATTATATATTCTTAGTATTTTATAACTTCTAGTATAAAATGTGTAACTACTAAGTAAAAGTTTATAACTTTTTTGAGAAAAATTAGAACTTCCAGAATAAAACAAACAATGACACTAAATAATTACAAAAATAATATTAACATGCCCAGCAAGAGTGTTTGGACTTGCAAATAGATGTCCTCACCGGTAAAGTTACAAGGTAAAAAGAAAACAATGCAAGATACTACCAGAGCTAGAACCATAGCTTCTAACAAGAAATTCATAACTTGTAGTTCACGTCATCTGAAAACGTCAAAATCAATTATACAACTTGTTTAAACAAAAAAACTGAGACTTCTTGCAACTGATACAATTATATACTTCCTCCGTTCCATAAAAGTTGCAACATTGGAATTTCTGAACTATTCACACACCTTACTTTGACTACAATTTTCTAATAATATATATAATAAAAATATTATGTGTAAAATATTAATAAATTTGTATTAGTGTAAATTTCCAATATATTAACTTTTTTTTATGTTTACTGATACGTAAATAAATATAATTACAGTCAAAGTTGCGCGTTGACAAACGTGAAAATCAAACTGTTGCAACTTTTATGGAACGGAGGATAGTATATAGAATGCCTGATAAAATCTCAAATAATGATCAAGATGTCATTTTACCTTATAACTTCTAATTAACTAAGATGAACTTTTAAAACAAAATCCATAACTCTCGATTCGTGCAGTCATATGAAGGAGGAATAATAGTGACATTGTTGTCGTTGAAATACGTATCATAAAATATTTGGCTAGTTCACAACTATCATAATGTATTCTACATTCAAATATCACAGTACAAATACATTGATTGGTTATAGATAATAAAAATAATCAGAATCAAAATTCTCAGTTAAGACTTAATTTTTTAAACACAAGCTCTTGATATTTTATCACAACTTTTGCTTTAATCTAAAACTAAGCATATATGATGTGAAAATAAATCCTAAAGGTGAACAAATTTCAAGAAAAATATAATAGTAGGCCTAATTTTAGCGAGTTTGAGGTGACTGACCTTCATAATCAGAGGATTTCTTATCAATAATTCCGATGTAAAATAAAACTAAACCTAAAACCAATAAATCAGATCTTAACCTTATCTTCAGTTTTAAGATCTGGTTTGTGGATAGAGTATCAATACGATTCGTTACTACTCATCGCGTAGAGATGCTTAGAGACATACCTCATTCTAATATCGAGAAATAACCTAGCGTCGATGGTCTTCCTGATTTGGCCCATGTTCGTCGTTGTAATGTTGCAATTGGCCAGAGGTATCACGATCTTCGTAGTTGGACGGTTGAACTTCATGGAACTAGAGAAGCGATTGCAAAATGGAGATACTCTGTCGCATGAGTAATTGAAGAGAGAAATTTTGGGTTTCCTACAACCTTCGTGCGTCCTCATTTTAAAACGGCGCCTTGATCTTCGTTGAAGCTTTTTGCGATTAGCAGGTCTTCATTTTTTTTTTCATCCGAGAGAAAAGGCAGCGAACTGAGGATGAGACGAGAATGGAGAGAGAACGCCAGAAACTATACCTGAATGAATGAAAATACCGATACGTACTCCCTCCGTCCCATATTTAACTCCGATTTTGACCGGGCACGTGTTTTAAGATAGTGGGATTTGTGTGGTGGAGAGTTGTGCAGAGGAGAGAGAAATATGTAAGAATGGTTGTGAACCACATATTCTTTACCAAAAAGGGAAAAAAGAGATAAATTTGGGACGAACCGAAAAGGAAAGATTGAAGATAATTCCAGGACGGAGGGAGTATATGGATTTATTTAATTAGGAGAGCAGGAGAGCCGTAAGATTTGATCTAATCGGTCAGCTCCTATTGCTTCTCATTTTTCAGCCGTATAAAGCTTCTCATCAGATTCATTCTCTCTCTCTCTCTCTCTCTCTATATATATATATATATATATATATATATATATATATATAGGGAGCGGATCAGATGAGAAGTGCTCTTAGCCTGAGAAACTGAGAAGTCTAACTTATAAGCAAAAAACATGAACTTTTAACCAAAAAATTATAACTTATAGACCCCCTCAAAAACACGAACTTTCTGCAAAAAAAAAATCCAGGTTTCTGAAGTTATCTTGACGCGGTGGCATTTTCGTAATTTTTTTGAGGGGGTCTATAAGTTATGATTTATTGGTTAAAAGTTCGTGTTTTGAGCTTATAAGTTAGACTTCTCAGCTTCTCAGCCTAAGGGGGACTTCTCACATGATCTTCTCTCTCTCTCTCACTATATATATATATATATATATATATATATATTGTTATTTTTTCTTTTTAGATAATTTATGTTATATATTGGTATATATTGAAAGAATATTAAAATTTTAGAAATCATTAATGATTATTTAATTCTGGTAATGTAGTGTACAAGATTTTTTGTTGTATCATGTTTGTGCAATTTTTACAACTTAATTAATATGGTGTAAAGATTAGCTCTCAGGGTTCAACTATAAATTACATTAGAACTACGGAGTAATATTTAACCTAGAACGAAGAAGAAGAACGTTGAAGAAATCTATTATATTCAACAATTTGATGATTTTCGTTTTTATATTTTCACATGAACTTAGTAAATTAAAAATGATATTTATCTCGTGTGTCTTTGTTTTGCTATACTTTTTCTTAGTTGTGTTGCATTATTTTTGTATTTGTGAATTTCAGTACTACATGTGCAATTTCTTGTATTTATTTCAACATTTCATATGAGTTGGTTGGTGTGATGATATCTACTAGTTGCAAGATTTGTTCAAATTTTTTAGCATGTGTTTGGCATTGTACCGTACCGTTTTGTACCGTTCCGAAACGACATGGTATCGGACCGTTAAAAACCTCACGGATACATTACGAGTTTTACCAATTTACCGGACCGTTCCGGACCGCGCCCACCCCTGATTAGCAATATAATTTTATTCTAAAAATTATAATGTCATACATAATATTGTAATACTAAAAACTCTTCGTGACTCACGATCACCCTCCATAGTAGACAAAAATTGAAATTCAACCCGCACGGGTAGCTTAGTTGGTTGAGTGATGAAAAATTTGGATGAAGGACCAAGGTTTGAATCTCGCAGCGACCGTGTGGAGGTTACAGCCTCTAAAATGGGCTGGACCTCTGGCGCGCACAGTATATGAGCCTACTGCCGCTTTGCCAACTCAGTCATCGTGATTTATATCTTCTCATGTGCCCTGTCGAGTCGGGCGTGGGGGGCTCCGGGGATGGGAGATTCCACCTTTTTTGAATCAACAATTGAAATTCAAAAACCAATTCTTTATTCCGATAAGATTCCTGTGGTTAAACAAGTAAGAAAATAGTTAAAAAGTATTGGTGAATGTGTACTTTTTAAACTCTTTATTTTCAAATAATATGATAATTAAAATGTTATACTAGGTATAACCTTTTTTATTTTCAAATAATTTTTCTTTTTGCCATTTCTTACGCTTTAATATATAAATATTTTTTAGACCACTTCAACTATAAAATCAAAGTTATTTTTTCATTGTCTGAACTTAGAATGTAATTGATTTAAATGTTATCGTGTATGTATTAATAGTGTACGTATTAATGAAATGTTTTAAATAAAAAATAGCCGCAAAGCTCTACACTAGCAAAACAAATTGGCTCGCTCACCAGCCAAAAAAAAATTACCCCTCTAATCCGCTATACTAAACAAACTTTTTTCACCATCTACATTAACGTAAAAAATTTCGCTCCCTTTGACTCGAAATTCGGGGTCCATCTTTGGTTATGGAGGGAGTATATGTTAAGATATTAAGTTTTGAGTTTTGACTCCAACAAAATAACTCCCTTATGCTTCGTTCCCCGGTATATCATATTCCTGACTCCGCCAATGCTACACATTAACACACATACGCACACATTGACCATTTGACCGTTAAGCATATAGTTTGATATACATCTTTATTTTTTATTCTTTCCCGTAAGTATCGGGAGTAGATTTTGTATTTCTTTTCTTTTTGCATTTAAAAGTACTACACAATGCAAGTGAACAAATATTACTAAGAAAACAAAAGAAAAAGAAACAAGGAGATGGAGAGAGAGAAAGCAGACGGAAGAAGAGAATTACAAGTATCTGCAGTATTCCTAAACTCATCAGGGCCTTCTAACCTAATATAGTCATACATGACACCTGTCCAAGGGCTGGAGACTCCTGCCTGTGTCAGAAAGATGATGTTCCTGCCTTGAACAAGCCCTGTTCCCGCTATTCTAAAACTGAAGAGCCAATACAGCCCATGAATCCCATGTCTTGCTATAGCATTGTCGCCACCAATGAGCCCAGTTGTAAAATGTGGGGGTTGCACCTCTCCATCATTGACACGCACCTTTGGGATGGTTGTCAAGAACAGTGATAATGTAAGACTCATAGAGCAATCAAATTGCAAAATACACATGATCAAACCAAAGCTTGATTGATACAGCCAAATAAGAACTGTGTCAAGAAGTGCAAAGTCATAGCAGTTTTAAATTCCAGATGTAAAGAAGTGTCAATTACCATCTTTAAGAAACTAAGCAAAAAATCATTTTTTTAGAGAGCAAGAGATGAGGGTTGTACCTGTAGTTCTGCTTCCTCAGCGGATGCCAGTGCCAGCTGGAGCGTGTAATATGATGCTCTATCTACACTTTCCAGGTCGAATTCAATTCTCCAAGTGGTTGCTCTATATGTTCTGTTTCCTAGGTCTCTGAAAAGGGTGAACACGTTTTAGAGGAAACCAGAGACCATTCTCATGTCCTCATCATCTCATCCTGTTATTTAGAACTCAATAAGTGCATAATTGATAATATAAGGTTGAAAAATGCTAACTCATACCTGGGAACATGAGCAAAAAACCAGTTCATGGCGTAATCACTGGTTCCAACAGTGTAGACAAGATCATTGAGAGGATATAGATCTGTATAGCGCTTCCACAGACCATATTCTCTAAACCTTCAAGTAAAACCTCACAAGTAAAAGACTATACTACGTAAAAAGTCTAATGGAGAGTCGGAGACGATTGATCTTATCTAGCAAACCTAAAAAGTAACCATTATCTCTTTCCTGAAGCTTAGATAGTGAGAATTTGATGGTATGGTATGTTCCCTAATATTATTGTCCTATAATAAAAATTCAATAAATTTACTCAAGTTTGGAGCTCAGTTATTTTGCCAAGAATTTTAATCAAGTTTGAACTCACTTGTTTTGTACATCATCTTCAAAATCATTAACTTTGAGCGTTGGGCTAAGATTTGGGACATAAAACTCAGCTGCTGTGCGGTCAGCAACACCTATTTCCCAAAGCGTAGCTCCATTTCTTGGAGGTTTGTACACTAATTTGCCCAACTCCACACTGGAACCTGGATTAGGTTAATAGAGAGGTAACTTAATTAATTGCTTACTAGTACGAAGGAAAAAAAAAAAACAAGAACAAATTTAGAGGAAGAATTAGGAACCTGGTATAATGCTGATGTCAAATTCGTATTTGTAGTCCCCCATTCTTCCTGGGACTGTTGCGTACAGATTATAAGTACCTTGTCTTACACTTTTAATAAAGAAGTTCCCATCGTTGTCAGCTTGGATCCAGAATTGGTACCCCTGTAAAATGAAAGTAAATTTGGAAAGCAAAATTGGAGAGATTACTATTCGCCATTACTAAATTTACTTCGTCCATAGTATTCCTACTTGATTGCATGACTACAAACAACCCAACCTTGTTTTCTCTTTGCCATGATCCTGCTGCACCTTGCGCTGCCAGTCCCACATATGCATAAGATGCTGGAACGGGCCGTTTATCAATGAACCTAAACAGACATCATGAGCAGTTTTCTTTAATCTTTTTGTTGGTTCATTTACCAGGACAAACGTAACCAATGTAGTGAGAGAAAATTACCAGTCATGAACGAATAATCTACCTCGAACAATTCCTCTTTCATCTGATTTCTCATAGTCTACCGAAGCAATGAAATCATATGGCCAGCTTGCAACTTCTTGATCCATCTGTACATCGTTACATACAGATGCATCAACGCATATTTCTGATGAGAAAGTAGCGTAAGACATGGAAAGACAGTTAAAGATATATGGGTACCCTTCTCTTTGCGTCTTGCCAGAGTATAGAAGGGTCACTCTCTGCAGCTGTATCTGAGTTGAGATACAAAAATACGGGGCCTAAAACCTTTTTCCATGGGTTTCCATCTTGAAAGTTGACATCTAGATCCTCCCCAGCATAATGCCTACTAACAAATGTCTGCAGTTCAGTTAAAAAACAAGAGGGAAAAAGGATTCAAACAGCAAGGTCTATGTACTCTCATCATTGTTGTGTTACAAAGAAATGGGCTAAGAAATATGTACTTACAGAGAGCGTGGTAGGGCCGACATGGGAAGTTAGCTCTTGCTTGAAAGGTCCACCAGTGCGGAACTCATTGCTTGGAGTGATCATCCAAAATCCTACTGGAGGACCAGTGCATACCCATCCATGAACCTTAATGTCTTTGCTGTCGCTAGAGTAAAAATACTTATCATCTACCTGGAAGTATATGAGCAAACATGAGCGGAAAATAACCAAACATACAGCTACCTAAATAGAAATTGGAGTTTTTCAGTTTTTTTAGGTTACTTCAAATCATCATACACGGGGATAACTAATTAAGGGAAGCCAGAGCCCAGAGGTCTAAGTTATAGTAATGGAGTGGCATAAAATACTGAGAGCTAGCTATTCAGTGGGATAGAATGTATAGACAAACCTGTCCTCTAAGAGATGGAGAGCTTGGGCGTTTCAAGAGAACTGCCTCTGGATAATCAAGTGTCTCGCCGGTCAGCCGGTCCTCAGGGGTCGGCATGAACCTCTTCCTGTCATCCGAAACAGCCATGTAACGAAACCTGATTCGATCGTACATCCATAAAAGATCAAGCATTTGTTTTCATCATCAGTACATATGTCATTCTAGCATTACAACAAACAGGGACTGTGCAAGCATTTCGAAATCATACATGTCCTGTCGCAGTTTGAATACAACCCTGTTTACTTCCATACGCACGCTTGGATATCCTTGCAAACGTTCAAGTATGGAGTATGTGTAGAAACCAGGCGAATCAGACAGCATCACAAATCTATAAAAGTCAATTAGCACAGGAATACCAAACAAATTTCAAAGAAAGAACTACTGTGCGGAGTTTTTTACAATGGTCGAAATTCGTACCTTCTGTCAATATTTACGGGAGCTCCAGTGATCCCGGAGGCATCCCACTCTCTTGTAAATGAAATCTCTACTACATTTTCATTATTTGAGACTACTTTGAAACTGGTGCCTTGCAACCTGCAATGGTTGGGTGACATTCAAATACTGGTGACAATGTCAAAGCATAAAAGTGAACAACATCGTTCATCACGGTAAATGATGCATCTGTACTTGTCCTGTTCTCCCTCGTTTCCTGCGCCATGCCAAATGGCATCCCAGTACCTGCAGTTACTTCAGAGTTTAGTACTCTCATTCTCAGTTTGGGTTTGATATTTTTAACAATGCGGTAAGGCTTTATTGATTTATTTTTTTGGCAAAAAAAAAAACTGTTTCGGTTCGGTTTTTAATGTAATTTGGATGAAATATAACCAAAAACGAAAAAATTGCTTATGATTTGGTTTGTGTTGAACTAGTTCTCGATTTGATACGTTCCAATCGATTAAACTAAACTGATATGCTCACAGCTATTTTTACCATTTACTTTTAAAAAATAACAAGGTAAGGGGAATGAAAATAAAAGATTTGGAATATTCCAAATTCTGAGATTTGTCCAATGGTAAAGAAACTAGTTTACTCACCAAATTCAAATGAGAATTAGATATTAAAATTTACATATTGTATTGAGAACTAGACGCCATATATATACACGTTAAACTATTGCCTCTATCCAACAAAACTTGGTCAAAGTTGATTTATATGTAAATTAATAAAGTAAAAACTGTCCAGTTGGAATTAGTGCAGATGAAAAAAATAAAAACTTTAGTCACGTATTTTTATTTTGAATGGAAATGACAAGGTTTTTTGGAACGGCTAAAAAAATGTGGTCAAGTTTTTGGGAATGATGGAGTACTATGTACTAAGGAGTAATATGCGTATATGTATATAGTGTCTAACCGAGCATTCCAGCTCAGCTGGTTGTGAGGTTAACGTATCTAGTGAGAGGTCTCAAGTTCGAAACCCGTTAGACACATTAAGGGTTTGAAACTCAATGGAGTGAGTTTCAGCCTTGATTACTCCAGACTCCCTACCCAGATGCCCCGGAGTAAAAAAAAAAACAAAAAAACAGTATACAATGTCTATATTTAAAGCCTAATACCCCGTATTTTGTAAACACCACTCAGAACCACTGCTTACACACTCATTTATGGCCCAATAAATTATGTAGAAAAGAAAAGTTGGAAAAGGTAGGATTTAAATATATATTGTATAAAAGAAAAATTGAAAAAAGGAAAAATAGAAATAGACAATTAAAGAAAAATTTACTCGAAAGAAATGAAACAAATAGTAATACTTTTTTCAAAAGCAACTTAAAAGTAATGTAAGAAGGGATTGAGTATTACTTTGCAATGTGTAGGACTAGATTGCCTCCATTCTAAAATAAACTTTATAATCAATTACTTAATTATAATCATTATATTGCGTTATCCGAAGATAGGATGTTTATAGGGAGTGTAATATATTTTTCTCTGTCTCAGTGTAATCTTCCAAAGAGGTTTTGAACATGTGTTAAAAAGTGAAAAATGTTTGATTCAGAATGATACCAGAGAAAGAGAGAGAAATAAATGCATTTCTGTACAAGTGAAAGAACACAGCTTAAATTACATACATACCCTCTGTCGTTTTCTGCGTTCTTCGTTTCCAGCAAATTGGGAACGCCTTGGTACGATATTCCAGTCACAAGGCCATCTGGAATTGACAGCGTCACACTCAGAATGTCGTTGCTCATCACTGCCTGAAAAAGGTAATTCGAAATGAGACGCCAACCATTGGATGATCGACTAGCCATCGTGGACGGTCCTGATGGCCTCTCCCAGTAATAATAAATCAAAAGAGAATTAATTTATCGGACAATCAAATCAATGATTTACGACTACGTACGTGTTTTTCCTGTACGTCCAAATGTACCCCTGCTTCCGTCGACCGTCTCCTGCGGTGTCACAGAAAAATCAGAAGAAGAAAAAAAGGGTAAAATATACACAACCAACCAGTAAGAAACATACCTCTGCTCAGCCTCAACCGCCGCCACAGCCGGCGGCGGCGGCAAGAAGAATAGCAGGACAACTAACATGTCGAGAAGAAACCTCCACTGCACTACACACCCCATAGCTTCTGCGCTCTTGGAATTCTATTTCCAAATAAGGATCGGAGTTATTATAATAATTATAGGCAGGACAATAATATTTAATTTGCCACACTTTCTGGCGCGTCGGGAAGGGAATGATAAGTCAATGATTTTGTAAGTCAGACAAAATGAAGTGAGTAGTGATGGCGTTGTCATTGGGATCGGCGGAGCTGTCGGTGGGGCGTCATAATTTCCCTCTATCCTTAAACGACCGTGTTTTTCATAATTGTCGCTGCCTACAATTTACCTAACACAACTTGAAAAGTAGACCCTTAGCCTTTTTTGGGTTTCATGCGTCAAATGATATACGGAGTGTGAATTGTGGGTTTTGAAAAATGTGTTATATACTCTTCTATTGTAAATAATGATGCACATAATACTTTATACGTGGTATCAACCAATTTAGAAATTTGAAAACCGTACGTACTATTGGATGTTTGGATCTACTGTTTCTAATTTTTATAAGCAGGTGAACACAAAATTTTGAAAAACTGTTTCTATTTTTAACAAACAAACAGAAGTCATAAATGCTTGGTGAAGAGTTGTACAGAGAAAAGAGAATATGTAACAATGTACATGTAGACTATAAACTTTTTGATGAAATATTTTGAAACGAATGAAAAGGAAAGTTAAAATAAGCCAACAATACACGCACTAGAATTTTAGAGAAGTCATAAATGCATTTATATAAAGGGGTACTTACATATATTGTATATGTACGTAACATATATATCCGGTTGGAATGGAAGGTGTAATCTCGCGATATATGCGTGATGAGGGGAAGGCAGAAGGAATTGGCATGGCCGCCGGCCTGGATCAAGAAAGCGGCCAGCTAGGGAATAATATTCGTTTCGTGTCCTTTAAGCTTCCCCGTTGTTACGGCTACGGAAAGTAGATTTGGACATGGGAAACAACACGTTAGGGAGCCTTAGGCTTTTCAATTTCGTTGCCCTGCCCTGCCCGGGAGATATATTGACGTGGGAAAAGCTACCTAAGGAATCCTTTTTATTTTACTGCATTAAATATCAATCCATTTCTCCCCTTTATTCCATCATTCTTATACTAGAAAAACGAACTACTCCACATCTCGATCTGCTTTGTCAATGAAATACAGTACTAAAATATTGTTCATTGTTGGTATATTATATGTGAAAACTTTATAACTAGGCTTTTTGATTTTAATAGAAAAAGTACCATGACGCACATTAATCATATTATGCTTTCTTAATTAAAAAAAAAGGCAATTAATCACTAACATGGATGGTGTATAATTTATCAAAATTCTGCGACCAAGGGTTTAGACTATATAGACAGATCGAGACATGATTCGGAGTGTGTGACAATAATACACAGTACCAAAATTGAATCGATGAAAGACAACCCATCTATGATCCAAATACCTAGTGGGTGACTTGAACGCCCAATGTCGAGCGGTTACTATCAATAAGAGAGTTTTATCAAACCCAAAAGATATATGAATAATAAATCCGGGATCCGAACGATGAAATGTATTGGTATGGAATCCGAATGATGGAAAACTACCAATCTAGGATCTAACATTTTATAAGTTTTGATTTATTTATTTTTTTATTAATTCCATTGCTAATTTTTGATAAACTTTTCTTCACAAAAGTTTTTTAGTTTAATAAAATTAAGGAAAATTTGAAAATAATAATCCTAATTGTTGTTGGTCCACTGTTAATAATCTCAACTATCGATTATTCTTGGGTGGTCTCAACTATAGAGATCATTTTCTGAAAATAGTCCATAACCAGCTACAACTTAGTATAGTAGGTCAATTTTATATGTGAACTATGCGTCAGCTATAAATAATCTGGACTGCAGTCCATCTTTTATTATTAATCTCATTTATCAACTCTAAATTTTTCCAAGATATAGAAATATATTTATCAATTTCCAAACTAAATATTTCTAAACATGTAAAAATATTTATAAAAGTTCTACAAATGTACCGAAGTTAAATAAAAAAATTGTCATTTTTTTTTTCCTTAAAGTTTCATTTTTTCCTTTTTTCCAATTTGTTTTTCACATTTGTGCTACCAGTTTTTGTATTATTTATCTTTATTCAAAGTCACTTTTTTTGTTTTCAAAAAGTAAATTGTGATTTCAATTTTTACGATTTATAAATTTATTCTAGATTTTTTCATGAAAATATATTGAATTTAATTTTCTTGATACTTTAATTCAAAAAATCTATATTTTTCACGTATTATCGTTCACTTATACATTTTGTAAAATTTCCATTATGCCACTGAAAATAATATTAACGCCGTTTTATTAAAAGTAGTCAAAACCTCAAAATCTATCTTTAAAATCACACCATAAACTATATCATATAATTTATACTACATTTGTCCCGGTGGATTTTGCCAAGTAGTGCAAAGTAGGTGAGAAATAAGAAAAGTAAAAACTGTGTGGTTGAGATTTGTGCAGATGAGAGAGAATTATGCAGAACTACAAATTAGTTGCTTTAATATGAAAGTGGCAAAGTTTTTTGGAACAAATAAAAAGGGAAAGTTGGCAAAATCCAATGGGACGGAGGGAGTAGAATATAATAATATAAAATAAAGAAAATAGAAAGAATATAAAAATATGAAAAATGGAAAAATAAAAAATTTATATATTTAGAATTAAGATAGCATAAGAAATTGAATAAAACATATTTTCATGAAAAAAGCTAGAATAAAGCTCTAATTTGTAATAATTTTAGTCACAATTTACTTTTTGAAAACAGAAAATGTAAATTTGAATAAATAAAAATAATAAAAAATTATAATTTGGTAACACAACTGAGAAAAAAATTGGAAAAATGAAAAAAGGAATTTTTAGTGAAAATAAATATGAAAAAATGTCTAACAAATATTATATTTAACTTTGGTACATTTCTAGAACTTTTGTAATTATTTTTACATGTTTAAAAATATTTAGTTTGGAAACTTATAAAATATTTATCAATTTTCTGAAAATTGGGAGCTGTTAATTGGGATTAATAATAAAAGATCGACTATAGTTGGGATTATTTATAGCTGATGCGAGTTTGCATTTAAAATTGACATGTTCTACCAACTCAAGTTGTAGCCGGTTAGGGACTATTTTTAAAAAATGTTCCATATAATCGGGATCACACAAGAATAATCGATAGTTAGGATTAGAAACAGCGAACCGGCAATAGTTGAGATTATAATTTTCAATTGTTCCTAAAACTAATTAATATTTAAAATTTACAAAAATCATGATACCTTAGGTCCTAAATCGATAGCTTTAAATCAGTTAAGTTCTAAATTGATAGTTTCCATCATCCGAGTCGTATATATCGATACATTTCATCTTCCGGTTCCTAGATTGATCATTTGTCTATCTTTCAAGTCGTGAATTAACAAAATTCAAAATTAGAGGGAGGGGTTGCTTTGCAACAACACTTGGAGATAGGGGCGAGACATTGAAATCAAGAACGGGAAAATCGAACCGGAATGAATCGCAATGAAACTAACTATGTATTTAAATTTTAACTAAAGAAAAGGAGCACTGTATTATTTTCACAGCTTGCACAACGAATCCCATGGTTTATGTGCGTTGCTTAAGCTTGCGATAATGTTTTCCGTATGGAATAAAGCTAAGATAACGTGGGGCTCTGTTTTTGGGTGGACAACAATTCGACCAGTCAATTGTGAATTTTGGACATAAATAGGATACATGAGATGGGTTAATGAGTAGAGACGCTTTCTACGTGATGGGAAAGAGTGGACTCGACGACTCCAGTTCCAAAATCAGGAAGGAAACCACCGGAACTAGGGCTGAGCATCGGGCGGGTTCGGATCGGGCGGGTGGGTGAACTCAAGACCCTTTCGGGTTTCGGATGTGTAATATGGATATCCTACCCTATGTTTTTTTATTTGGATATTTTCGGGTTTTATTGTATCTCAGGTAGGGCGGGTTCAGATCGGGTATCGGGTTTATTCGGTTTCAAGTTTAACCTAAAATAATTTGAAATTGCAAAGTAATTTCAACACCTGTAACTCTAAAATATTGAAATTGCAAAACATAATTTGATTCACATACAAAATGTGAATATTACACAAAGTAAAGAGTAAGGGGATCAAAGTTGTAACATAGAATTTTAGCATTATACAAATTACTTAATCACACAATTCATTAACATAATAACATCCAAAGTTCCAACTAGTCAAGTATGCAAAATAAATACATCCAATTTCTTTTTCTCAGCCACTCTTTTCCACAACTATTTTCCACAGTTTGAAGTTTCCACCTGCATAAGAAAGTTAATGAACACATGGAAAGCAATAGACATGTAGTAGTTGTAAGGAATAATTGTAATTAGATTTTGATGATGCTAGATTAATTAGGACTTTAGAAGTACCCCTTTAGAAATTATGTATTAGAATTTTCCTTTGTAAAGTTCTTAGATGTATTCGACTTGACAGAAGACCTTCAAGAGCAGAAGGACTTCAAGAGCAGAAGTGCCTCTTAAGGCATTATTGAAACAGAGGACCTTTGGTTCTCTGCTCCAGAACAGAAGTCCTCAGGATCTCTGTTAGTCTTGACTCTGACAGAAACCCTTCTGGGTCTCTGTTGCCTACTCCCAACAGAAGTGCTCCAGACCTCCTCTGTTCTACTCTCAGACATAGACACCAGAAGGACTGACACTTAGAAGATTTTCAAAGAACCGGGAAGTCAACTAAAAGATTCCTTCAACAGCTAGGAGTATGAAACGGAAAAGCTACAGTGCATGCATTAAATGCTCATTTAATGCACCCCATGCTACGTAGAGTAATTGCAGATGATTGGCCACAATGTCAGGAATACTTTATCCCAAAATAGTAACCCGCCAACTTTACCGGGTCCTACTGGTCAAGTCAACTGCTCGCGGATTAAATGCAGTTGTCCTCCTACTCCTCCAACGGGAAGACAACCTCAGTATAAAAGATACACTACGAAGAACAACCGGACAACTTGGAGATAACCTTGCTATAACTTTGCTACAACTTTGCTAACCACAAGCAAGATATTCAAACTCTGAAAAGCAAAAAGCCTCCTTGAGATTCAAACTCATTATCTTCTACAAGAGAAGGCAGAAGTTGGAAAATTACTCTTTCCAACTCAAGCAAAGTTCCAAGTGTTCTTCAACTCTTCAAGCTCATCACATACAAATCTTTTGTAACGAAGCTAGTTGGAGGAACCCCAGTTTCAACAGAAACTCTTCTTGCTACAAGAAGGACGTCCAAATAACTGGAGTAGTGAAGTGGTGATACTTCAAGGAAACTCAGTGAAAGGACCAGTGTTAAAGGAAGCCAGGCAGTGCATCCCAGGACACATCTAGGCTTGAAGAAGACGTGGAGTGCTTCTTAAGTTCTAGGACTAAGGCTTTGTAAACGACAGTTTTTACAGCTTAGTGGAACAGTGGATTAGAGGAACGAGTTGTTCCTTGAACCACTATAAAAATCCCTGGTGTCGTTTACTTACTGCTTTTAATCATTGCATTTAGTTAGAACTGTATAACTCCTTGGACTTGGTATCTGTGTTCAGCAGAACTTGTTCTACGAGTTAACAGAAGGCCTACTGCCTTTGCTTCTCTGAGGCTAACAGAACTCCCTACCAGAACCCCATCCGCTGCCAGTCTGTTCTTTCACCAGAACAGGCTATTCTGTAAATCTGGTACTTAGTTTAAAAAGCTAAAAACCAATACAGTCTATTCACCCCCCCTCAAGACTGTATCCAGTATAACCGGGACCAACAAGTGGTATCAGAGCCTCCTTGTTCTAATAATCTCTTAGGTTATTTGTTGAACAAAGATCCACTTGTTTTTCTGTTTTACCTCATTTCTATCTGATATAATGGACCACTCCTTGTCCAAGAATCTTATGTTTTCAGATCTTAAGTTTGATGACTGGAGGATCCGGATGAAAGCACATCTCTGTGCCCTGCATGATGAAATGTGGGAAGTTCTTGACATTGGCCCCTTCACTAGCTTCCAGAAGGTCAATCCTGAACATGCCATAGACAACACCAGACCCCAGATGATCAGCAAAGCCAAGTCAGAATGGACCACTGAAGAGAGGAGAAAGTACAACCTAGACAATATTGCCAAGGACATCCTCTACAAGTCCATTGATGATAGGTACTTCAAC